GGAGGGCTGCGTCTGTGCCGGTGGGCGCCAGCCCGCGCTGTCCTCCTGCTGTTTGGTTTTCACCCTCTTCAGCCAGGCGGGACTGCGGAAATGTGGCAGCTCGATGGGGTTTTGGGTTTTTTTCCCCATAAACAAAGCCTGTCCAGGTCGGTCACACCCCTGAAGGTGCTGGTTGCAGTGACAAAGAACGGTGCTGCAGGCGTTAAGGGAGGTGGGGGTTTGGAGGGATTATGTTCTAACGCCTTAAACTTTATTGCAATGTTTTCTACTACCTGGAGCTTCCCTGCCTTGCCCTGAGCTTTGGGAGAAGGTGCGATGCCGTGGAGAGGCAGGGCCCGGCCTCTCACCTACCGCTAGTTTGGAAAGGCAAAGTGAAGGTTCTTCCACCAGGAGCGACCTTCCCGGCCTCGAGCGGTGCGTTCCACCTCCCACACGCAGCTACAACGGGCCGCAGCGTCCGTGTACTGTCACGCTCCTGTTTTCAAGGCCTTCGGACGCCACGCGGGAGCGGCGAGCGCTGGTGGCTGGAATCGTTCCAGCTGAAGCTGTAGCCAAAGGGACGCCCCGTCCCGGCGGGTCCCCGTCCCCCTGCACCTCCCTCGGCGTGGGGGGGTGGTGGGAATGGCGCGGCCCAAAGCGGGACAGCCAGGACTGGGCCTGAAGGGGCCCTGTGTTCTGACAACCAGTTGCTACTGGTCCCAGTAGGCTATGGTTAGAGGCATTCCAGGAAAAAAAAAAAAAAGCCAGCGGGAGCCTGGCTGCAGTTGGACAGGTTTTGGGCTCGCCCCACGGGGTGGCTGTGGCCGGGCTGGGCGAAGGGAGGAGGGGGGGCGCGGGAAAGGTCGCCATCCCCTGACGGAGGGAAGGGCACGGGATCTTCAGGCGCTTCCCGCGTTAATTCAACTGGTTTAGGGTAATATTTGAAACGGCCCCTTGGGGGGGGAGCCAGCCCCTCCCTGCAGGATGGCTTAGGGACGGGGGAAGGGAAGTGGCTCTGGCAAATTTTTGTTCTTAAAAGTAAAGATTTCCCCGTGCCCCTGGCAGAGGGGGGGCTGGGAGGGGATTATTGACTTGGACTTTTAAGCAAAGGACTGGAAGAAACCTGAGCCACCCCTGAGAGCCTGAGGGGTTTTTTTCACGTTCCCCTCGTGCCTGCAGGATCTTTTCTGAAGTTACCTGGGGAGAAAACGTGACAAGTCACTTCGAGAAACGGCAAAATCAGGTTTGGGACACAATTTACAAATTACTCTATTTAAAACTTTAATTTGTGATATTAATGACTGCAAAACACTTAGAATGACATTTGTTAAAGGCACATTTCATTTTAATGCATAGTGTACCATTCTAAAATATCCTAATTTCCTTACAAAGTGCTTGAGCAGCCACATACAGATAAAGTATAGCAAAATATATTTACAATCTAGGGTTTAAAATCTTAATCTGCCTAAAAATACTTTAAAAACTACAGAGATAAAATTAGTGCTTTCTTTCAGCTTAACTGGGTGAACATACCCCGCCCTCTAATTTTTTTTAAATTTTTTTTTTCTTTAGTGATTTACTTAGATTAAAAAAAAAAAAAAGAGATTTCTGTACAAGATGTAGTTACAAAAAGGTATTTTTGAGGATACTTTCATACGTGTTAAGCACCCTGGTAGATGCTCATATATATATATTTGGGAACCAGAAAGGGTGAGCTGACTGTACCTCAAAAGTATTGGTTTTTCAGCTAAAGACAGGAACGTCGGTTGTTTCATTCAAGAGAATCTGGAAACACGTAATTCGGGAAAAGTCGCCTCGCCGGCACACGCGAGGGGAGCGCTGCTGAAATGCCGCCTTGCGCCTGGGGCGCTGCACAATTTCGACCCCAGTGACCGTTATTTTCTTACATTTGCTTTTCCTTCCTCTGCCTCTCCCCTGATTGCCCCCACAGGATTTTGAAACCCCCCCCCTTGGCCCTGCACGCCCCCCCGAGGCTTACGTGTGAGAAGATCACAAGTTCGGGGCTCGCTGGAGATCGCAGGCGCCGTCAGCTGCCAGCGGCGCTGGGGCGAAGGGCCACGGGGGAGGTTTATTTTCCAAGCATCAACGCTTGCCCGCAGAACACCGGATGCCAACGACAGGTCTTGGTTTACAACGCACAGTGTCTGGTCTTAAATTATTCGTCGACTTTTGAGGTACAGCTTTTAGTGTTCAGGGGTTTATAAAATATACACTGGCTTTATCAAAAATATTTATACATTCTGTTACAACATATTGCTTTTACCCTCGGTAACTGCCAATTGAAATTCTGGAGGTCAGTGGCCTACGGATGGTGGGTTTTTTCCCCCTTGGAGTTCTGCGTTGTTCACTCGGCCACTGTGCGAGATTAACGAAGTGGTATAATTAAACGACTTGCCCGGACATCAGAATACATTACAACTTCCCGACCTACATGTTCGCAGCATGTATACACTGAAAATCCTGACGCTCTCTGGAAGTGACAGGCTATTGTACAGCAGGTGCAGGGGGCTGGGACAGAGCGGGCGACTGCTCTGGCCCCTGGGGGAGCGGGAAAGGCGGGAGTTGGAGTACAGACGTGGGGGGGGCCCTCGGGCCACGCGTACGCTCCGCTCTTTGGGGTTGGGCTGAGCAACGTCCTCGTTACGTTCTTCCTCCCCACCAGGGTTTTAAGCCATGCTTGGAAAGCTTGAAGGCAAAACTGTTTGGCAAGTGGCTTTGGTAAACGTTCCGGGTTGTTCTTCGTAATGGAAGCACTTACGCTGCTGTTATCTCAAAGGCAAGGCGCTGAACATGGTTTGTGGTTTTTTTTTTTTCCTAATAAATACCATAGAAAATTTACAAAACAAGGCATATCTGTTCTCAATACCGTTATTTTAAGAACCAAAGATGAAGGTGTACATAGAAATGTGTAGGTTTATAGACTGCACAAGAGACTATTTAACTGAAATCATTTGCCTTCTCCAGCTAGAACCGTGTCCTGTGTGAGTGTCACCAGTATCCCAGGCTTCTGTTTCCACGGGGCTGAGCAGAGATCAGCGGTGATCCAGCTCAAAGTCCGCTCTTAAAAAAACGCTCTTCCCAGTTAAGGCAGACGCTTGGACGAGCGATGGAGGGTATCTGCTGGGGAAGAGGGAGAGAAGCAGAAACAGCTCCACGTGCGCCCACGTGGGGGGGGAAGCTGAACACAGCCTGGGTTCGCCCACTCGGCGCGAGAACTCCACAGCCCTGCTTTCCAGTGCTCAGATAAAAAAAAAAGGAATATACAAAGAGGCCACTCTTCACAAGAGTGTTAAAACAGTACTTAAAAGGATCTTCATGTGATTTAAAAAAAAAAAAAAGACAACCCAGAAGCTACAGGTGGCACAGAGAGCAAGTGAAGGGTCGGTATTCTTCCGAGAGAGGCATTCTTGTGAGCCAGTCAGCTGGGGTTTCACAGTGTCTGGAAGTTTTGTTTGTTTTTTTTTTTTTTTTAACACCAATCAGCAATGTAATCAAAATCTCTGAACATTTCCTGCTCTTCTTCTGAAAGTATCCTTGGTTCCCGAGGTGGAGTGAGGATAGGTGCTTCAGAGGTAAATTCGTCATCAAAATTACTAACATCTTCTCGTCCTCTAATGATGGGCACAAAAGGAGGCTTCACTTTCTTGGCCAGTAAAGCATTCCAATCTATGAGCTGCAAAATAAACCAACTGCTGTTTAGTTTCCCGTCTACTCCTCCTCAGCGGCCGTAGAACTAACGTGCCTTCGTACTCACCCTGAAGAAGTGATGCTTTTTCACATCCTCAGCATCTTTCTCGCCAGCTCCGAGACGCCGCTCCGGATTTCTTCGTAGCAGCTGACAAAACACGCAGGATTTCAGTGCAGAAGTTCAGGGGTCGGGGGGGGGAGGAGCTAGGGAGGATGAGCGCTACCGCGCAAGAGCCCACACCAAGAGGGCCAGCGGAGTTCCTGCTGCCCGAGCTGTAGGAAATTCTTGGCGCTCAGAAGGGGAAGCCAAGACTTCAGCCGAGGGCAGCTGGAGAGAGCAGCGCTCCTCCAGCGATGCCGGCGCCCCTCCGCAGGGCTCCACCAGCAGCCACAGC